GAGCTGCCCCTCACACACACACACACACATTTGCCTAAAGAGCTGCTCGGGGACTAGCAACTCAGATGCAAAGTTTAATTTTTTGTTTTGCCTGTGAACTTTTAGCAGACCCTTCGTGACAAATATTCTTGTTCTGTGTGTGGATTTATTCTTTCTTTAAATAGGTGTGATTCCATTTTATTTCAAGAAGTTCTCTTCTATTTGAGTAAAAAGTCAGCACATACTAATAGTTCATCTTCTCAGTTTCCATCAGGCCAACGCCAACTCCTATAATACTTCTCTAACACAAGAGGCTAAGGGAATCTCATGATGAGATACATAACCCCACCCCACCCCATCTTAGCAGGCCACTCCCCAAGCGGATTGGAAGAGCCTCTAGGCTTGGTTCCCGTCATCCACCTTCTCTGTACTTCAACATACCTGCCCCGAGACCCCCTAACAGCCCAGAGCCTGAGGCTTCTGACTGTATCTCAACCCAGGACCCAAGAAGACTGCATTTCAGGACAGACCAAGGCCTAGAGGGTAAAACAGATGATCCCATGTTATCGAGCTAGTACAACTGAAAAAAATGAATTTTAAGTTTTATTTCATTTTCATTTATTTAACGTTTAGAAGACACACATTTTAAAGTAACCACTGCATTACACAGCATCAATCTAGAGCAAAGCTATGCTAGTTATATTTTTCTTCAGTATTCATGTTTTTAAAAGCCTGGGTGAGATAAGGCAAACACAGCTCATGATGGGCTGGTAGTTGGCCTTCTCCTGGTTCCGATCCTCTGAGTCACCTGCATGGGCACCTCCAACACCGCAGGCCTCTCCGCCCTCACCAGCGATATCCCCTCCCTCCAACTCCACTGCCACTCAGGACCCACTGAAGCCCTGAGTCTGGCTAGCACCCTTGCCCTTTCTCTGGGCTTCAACGCCCCTCGTGCCAGTGCCTGTGGGAGCTGGTGTCCCACCGGTGCTTCAAGCCCACTGCTTCTCCACTGAACCCTTCCATCTTCCTTGTCCCCAAAGCTTATGGTTTACCTGGGGTCCACATTGTCAACAGCAGCACCACCTACCCACCTACCTCCTAGTTCTCACGTATATAATCTGGATGGCATCTCTACCGTACCCTTATCTCTTGGTCCTCAAAACTTTCTGGGCAAAAGAAAAAAAAAATCAGACCTGCCGGGCTAGTGGTAACTGGAAGACTCCCCAAGACTATTGCTTTGAGAAACTCTTCAAACTTTCAACCCAAACAAACCCCTGAAGTCACCCTGGTGAGTTAGTCAGTTAGGATGAGCCTTCGTGCCATACAGTATAATTCTAGTCTCCATATGCCAGGGGCTATCATCCCATTTTGGATAGCATTCTCTACTAAATTGATGGACAGGAGGAGGGCGGGATTAAGACAGGAGCCCTGGTGGCGATCCACAGGTTCAGCAGTTCTAAACCACCAGCAGCACTTCGGGAGAAAGACTGGGCTTTTCTACTCCTATAAACAGTTATGACCTCAGAAACCCACAGGCGTTGGCTGTGAGTCAGCACTGACTCGACGGCAGTGAGGTAGGCAGGTAAGGCCAGACCTTGGCCGCAGGTGAGGAGCACTGCTGGTATAGTGATTACATGTTGGGCTGTATGTAACCTCGTGGTCAGCAGGTCGAAACCACCAGCCGCTCCTGCGGAAGACGAAACTTTCTACTCCTATAAAGAGTTACAGTCTTAGAAACTCCCGGGGCAGTTCTAAGCAGTCCTAGACGGTTCGCTGTGAGTCAGATGCAGTTGAGGATGGATGTTAGTTGGAGACTCTACCTTAGTAGAGGGTGTGACTTAAGACAACATCCTTTGTTTTCCTTGGATGGGGCATATCTACTGGGAGCACCATTTGGTTCTAACGCACATCACCTCATCTGGAACGCCAGACCTCTACTTCTTGGCTGCGTTCGGTAGAAGCAAGAAGACCTGCTGTGACTTGAACATTTTTGCCTTCTGGCTCTGGGCCCTGCATTTGGCTCACCTCTGACCTTTGGTTTTGGGGCTGAACAGCATCCACAGCCACGTGAGACATTTCTCCATTGTTCTATGAGTTCTAGCATGCTGCCGCAAATCCCTGACCCAGGGACGTGAGGGGATGGCCTCCATGGGGGCCGGGGGAGTGCAAGAGCTGAATGGCATCTTGGAAGAGTTGGGCATTTGATACACATCTTAAGTCTCCAACTCCTTGGGGCTGAGAGTCTGGTATTAATTCTTCTAAAATATTTTTAAAACCCCAAAACACTATTACCATACTTTGTAGCCAAAAACCCCCCCAAAAAACAAACCAATTCCCAAAACTATGACTACTCATCAGCCACAGTTCTGTGCTCTTTTAAAAACAACCCCAAAAAAATCCACATAAAATAAAGAGGAGACTACAGTGGGGCAGGGAAACTAGATGAATGGAAATGAAACCACTAGAATGGAAAAACGAGGCTGTGCACACATCGTGAAGACTAAAAGCAACCCAACTGAACAACCTGTGCAGAGACTGGTGGCTGGGAACCAGGACTGCTGTGCAAGCTTTCACCCGAAACACAACAGAACATTATTTTGAAAAAGAAAAGAAAAAGCCTCTTGGATATTTCTTGTATCAGTCTTGCCTCCAATCTTATCGCCCACCTGAGCACCTGAATTTAGGCCTCTTTCTACAGTGGACTCAGCTTTATATGGGAGACACATGACAGGCTTCAAAAATTGTACATGGGTGGATCGGGGGAAATGAAATGAAAAGATAACAGAATGTTTCCACCAACTTTTTTTTCGAAGTCTCTTTTGTATTTTAAACTCAACAGAAATCACCTCTATTTAAAAGGAATTATCTCTGAGACTCCCCGAAGAAGACCACTCTACAACCCAAATTACCCTTTGCCAGGGTGTAAGGGAAAAACAACAGCAGAAACACCCCACTGGAGGAGATGCGCACACTTACCACAAGTGTCTGACGGGAGCCCGAGGCCAACCCTGCTCCTGCTCCGACATCAACTAGACCATTGGTTCCCACGCTTACGTGGCTTACTACCCCCTTGGCAGGAAAAAAAATTACTCAGTGCTTCCATGCCAGTTTGAAACATTTGTGCGAGTGCCTATAATCCAGGATTACGTGTCTGCTTAAAGACCTCTCTGGATTAAGGTGAAAATCAAAATGTGAATGAAGGTCAAGTTAACCACCACTCAGGAAGATGTCCCAGTGCTGAGTACGATCCCAGTGAAGCAATTTCCAGAGCGGTGGTTTAAGGCCTTTAAAGACCAGCATTCCTCTTAGTGACCTCCTTCCTTCCCAAGAGGAAAACACGTGGAGGCAAGCCCTCTCTGAAGAGGTGTTTTGTTTTGTTTTCTTTTCTTTTGTCTGCCCGCACTTTAGGTAACTTTATACACATCGAATTGTAATCCTACATCTGGGGGAAAAATGTGAGTGGTGAATAAAATGAATGTGTTGTCATCTGCCTTATCTGAACGATCTCACGTATTCTGATAAGGCTCCCACCAGGATACAGAGCACAGGCAACTGGGGCAAACTACACGGGCTCTTCGCCCTCATTCACTGCAGGACAAGTCTAACGTTGGGCAAGCTCTCTGGGGCACCTTCTGGAGATAATGTTAAGCCTGCATACTGTTCTCCAACCTATAGTGCACACCCAGCTGGTTTTAAAACGTTAATGCCTGTGCACACTTCCTTCCTGCAATTAATCCCAGCAGGTGTGGAGGGCAGGGTCCCAGCAGGTGTGGAGGGGGGAGGGGGGGAGAAAGCAGGAGGGCGGGGATGGAAGACCAGGAAGACCAGAGTTCGGCCAATGGGATCCCAAAGATTTCCTGTCACATCAAAATCATTTGGCTTTCCAATACCTTAGCCTTCCCTGAAAGCACACGTTATTACAGCTAATCCTGTGTGGGCTCGAGAGGGAAGGGATTTCAGGATGGTGGAAGGAAGGGAACCAGGGAATACCATTACCGGAAGAGTAAAGAAAGCAGGGTGCTTCGCTTCGTCTTCATATTTGCCATCTGTGGAACTCCCAGCCTCCATCGACTTGGACGTGGTGTTCTTACCAATGCCCATCATTTAAGAAAAACCAAGTGGCTTCCCGCAGCCGCCGTTGGACCGGGGTGGCTGGACGTGAAGGCCTTGTCAAGGGACGAGCCCGGGGGTCAGAGTCGGCTCTTCCTGTGCCGGGAGCACCTGCTTCTCAGGCCAAGCTGAGCCCCGCAAGCACGGCCATCTCTCAGCACCTGGAAAGAGAGAGTACAGCCACATTACCGCACAGCACGCCAACAGCCCAGGACACACAGCTGCCGGGCTTCCGTCTGGAGAAGGAGCCAGATTCCCAGTGATCCGCCACACCCCCAAAACAAATGCCTCCTGACTTATACTTTTCATGGATGCTCCCGGATTAGCCCCTGCAGAGGGGGACGGCTGATGGGAATCACCAGAATATCAGAATGTGAGGGAGAAGAAGTCGCAGAGGCATTTCTTTGATGCATGTACTAGACAGACCTTATCGCCCGGCACTGCCCAGGAAAGCTTCCTCCAGTGGTCCACGTTCCCACGTGGCCGGAACACCTGGAATGTGGCTGCTGCAGCTGAGAAGCTGGCTTTTTCTACTGCACTGAATTATCACGGAATACCAATCGACCAGCCACACGTGGCCAGCAGCTCCCCCACTGGACAATAGAGAGATGACCAATTCACTTAAAACATAAGAAAACAATTCTGCATTTCCCACACGTGACCCACACCAAGCGAAAGGTACTCCGTGGCTTAAAGAAGGTAAGACCAGCCTAGGGTTCAATGACAATACAAAAACCCAGGATGATGGCCAGGAGAGAGAGCACTGCACAGGCTAGACTGCCGTGAAAGGGGGGACAGGCATCAAAACATTCAGTATCAATCAAATATCAATATAAACCTATAGAAAAAACACCACGAACCACAATAGTGGGAAGAAGTCATTCATGTGGCAAGAGATGAGACACGGTGGGGGGACAGAATTAGCGCTACTATACCATCTGTCGTATCTGTCATAGGATGGTGGCTTGCATGAATGTTGTTCCAAAGCTGGAAGCTATGCCACCGGCATTATCAATACCAGAACCGTGATCCATGATGGACGGGCTTCAGGGGCGCTGACAGACTGGCGAGAAAGGCCTGCTGATAAACCGAAGGAAATTATTAGCCAATGGAAACCATCGGGATCACAACAAAATGGTGCCACAGGAGGGCTAGAAAAGGAGGCCCCTAGGCTGGAAGGCTCTTGGGAGACACAGTGGCTACAGCAGCGAACGTGACCGTACGAAGATGCTGAAGACGGAAAGAGGACTGGGCAGCCTCCCATTCTATCCTGTCTGTTGTTGGAGCAACTGACACCAGCAGGCACGGAGGGGACAAAGATCACGGCAGTGCAAGGCAGTGAGAGGGCCAGGTTTCAGGCAGACGACTGCAAAGCCCAGGAAAGGGCCAAGGCACCTTTGTCCATAAGGCAGAGCACTCGGGAGTCACGGGAGCCAAGGGCTTTCTTTGACATGCACCTGGTGCACAGCTTAATAGCAGCACTCTTCGTCAGAACCTCCTGCAAGGACCAAAATGGTTTACAGCTGTCCCCTGCGGTCCCCAGCAGCCACACGAGAAGTGATATGTTCAAACGGCGGTGTTGGAGAAGTCTGCTGGAAGGACCACAGACTGCCAGAAGAACAAACCTAGCTGCCTCCAAGCAAGTGAGGCCACGATGGCGCCTTAGAAACCAGGATGGTCAGACTTTGTCTGACGTACCTTGGACATGTTACTGGGGGGAGACCAGCCCCTGAAAAAGGCATCATGCTTGGTAAGAGAGAGGATCATCGAAAAATGCGAAGACCCCCTCAAGGACCTGGTTGACACGGTAGTTACAGCAATGGGCTCAAAGATAACGCAGGATGGCGTGGCACGGGCCCATGGGACCATGCTTTGTTCGGTAGTATACAGGGTCACTGTGAGTCCGAGCAGCCGCCACAGGTTAAGTAAACACGTGTGTGTGTGTGTGTGTGTGTGTGTGTGTGTGTGTGTGTGTGAGAGAGAGAGAGAGAGAGAAAGAGAGAGAGAGAGAGAGAGATGGGGGTGCAGGGTTAATAGGTAATCACAGCATCCGACATCCAAGCACATAAATTTGTGATGAAGCCTCAGGCCAGGCACTGGGATCCGCCTGGGACCGGCGTGTTTCCTCCCCAGAAGCTGGCCTTGCTCTGGGTAAATGCCAAGGTCCAGAGGCAAACCGTGAAATTGATAAAGGGGAGGGGTGGGGTTGAGCCAAGGGTCTCATTGTGTAAGAACGGGAGAGAATCTGACCCCGGAGCGAGGTTGCCAATCTCCGGCCCTCACCATTCTTCCTTCTGTTGCTCCTGGTGCGTGGTGACCCTGTCTGTGTGTGCACAGTACAAGTGGCCCGTGGAGTGTGCTAGCCACCGCAGGCACCATTTCCCACACACCCCGCTGGCCTCTCACGATATCCGTGCCAAGGATCTCCCACTAGGAAGCACAGTAGTATCATTGCTTTCCATAACAATCCTACCAGAGTGGAAGCTGAGCTCCGGAGAAGTACTTGCCAAAGGACACAAGGTTTTCAGAGGTGGAGCGGAGTTCACCCAGAATCACTATTTCAAACTCGCCCTAACTATTTACACAAGCAGGGCTCAAGCCTCCTTCACATGCTCAGTTTACAACCGGGCCCCTTCCTGACTACACTCCCCGCCAGCTGGCCACTGAGCTCGTCTGGGAGTGATTCTTCCTGTGTGGTTTCTGCCCTCCTAGTGATGTTGGGAGGAGGCCTGGTGTCACCGTGGGTTTCATGTCGGACTGCTAACTACAAGGTCAACAGGTTGAAACCATAGCTGCTCCACAGGACAGAGAGGAGCCGTTCTGCTCCCACAAGAGCCACACTCTTGGAAACCCATCAGCACGATAGTCTGATAGGGCTCAGAACCCACTCGGTGGCCGGGAATGTTTGCGTGTGAGTGGGTTCTGAGGGCTCTGAGGGGAAGAGGGTTGTATGGGCTCCTTGTCCCAGGTGAGGCTCACCTGGCTTCCACATCTAGGCCTGCCTGTCCCCTGGCTATCCCG